ATGATGGAGGATATAAAAGTTTGGACGGGCCGAACATTGAATTGTTATACCCTACACAACTATGTTGTCAGGTAATTATAGATCTGTGCAGCCTCAAGAGCTTGTAACGCCGTTACAGTTATGCATGGGTTCTGTCCAATGAAGATCCCTATTGTTTTTGGTAAAGATTGGTTAATATTTAGGGGATGAAACGGACCATATACTTAATTTTTGTCCGTTTTTCTGATCGCTCCAGGGACCATAATTATGGCCCGAACATCGCGAAATTTTACATGGAGAACGGGATCGGGCTAAAGAATACGCATGCCTTTTTTGATAAAGATTGGTCAATATTTAGCGGTTCAAATGGACCCTAACTTTTGTGTGAAAAATTACTAAATTTGTATTTTTGGCTTATATCTTTGCCCCTGAAGGACATAGACCCGTGAATTTGATAGTATATCCAAGAGGAATGGTTAACCTTTTAATGGATACAAATTATATGGTCGTATGTACTTAGATGTGGGAGTTACACTTAAATATTTCCAGGTACTTACGTACTGAGTTATTATCATACTAGAGGACGGAAATATAGCGCTGATCGCTTTGAAATTTTACATGGGAATACAGGTATGGCCAAGGACGCCTATAATTTTCGGTGATGATCAGATAATAATTTTGGGATTAAGTGGACCGAATACTTAATTTTTATACGGACAAGACTGTGCAAATATCACGAAATATTGCCCAGGCTCGGAATAAACATCCGCAAAAAGTGAGAGTTCCGTGGTAGTTGTGTAGGGTTATCTTATGGTAGGCCCCGTCTGACTATACTGATCGGCTCACTGGTTTTTACTTGTTTCTTTTTCACTCTCTTTGATATAAAACCAGTATTTAAATTTTGATGGATTGCGTTCATAAAATGCAGGAATCCTGGCATTGGCTATACTTTCTGAACACTATTCATACCACAGATCTACCTCTTATCCAAATCATAAACACCAACAACGTTCCTCATATTTTATTTGAAAGTTTTAACTCAATTCATTCATTCTACCAATTTTAGTACCATATACTAATTTTCGTTCACTATAAGATTCATTTTCACAATCATCTCCTATCCGCAACCCTGTACACCAACAACCTATATTCAGTATTTCAGATCTGTTCATTCGTACAATAAAATTTTTACAAAACTTAGTAGCATTTAGTACTTTTCGTGAACTTATAGTACATACAAATTTCCGAAAATGTCTTTCTACTTTAAGCCTACACAAAAAACAATGATCTCCATAGCAATTTTCAAATTCCTTTTCGCACTTTTCGTATTATCTCGTTTCGTTAAGTGGTTATAGATCCCCCAAACATCATATCGCAAATCTGATAAATAAATTTAAAATGACCATATTCAACTTCTTGATATATTACTTTGTATCATCGGAAATTTTACATCCATACCCATTACTGATATTGGTGGTTTTTAGACAATTCAGTTGGTAGCAACATCTACAATACTCAGATTCTTGTACCTCCACATATCTTTGATTGGATGGCTGTATAACACCAGCAGGAAATACAAGAGCTTACAGCTGTTGTTTGTTTGCTGGCGTGCCTGCTTACTTACTTGCCTGCCTGCCAGTTTCAACTGTGTATGTGTGTATGTGTCTCTATAGCCAAGATACATGCCGAAGATATGTTGTGTTATACAAAAACGCAAACAAAATCCACCTCTATAGTCTCTGGGGATAAAATATCTACAGTGTTGGATACGCTACCCAGTTACTTTTACTTATGCTGCTGTTGTTCTTGTTGTTGTTGTTATTAAGCCAATACCACTGGGTGCGGGTGGGGGAGTAAGCAATAAATTTTATGAGTAGTAAAAACGAATACAAATACATCTCGACTGACCAAAATACACCAGCATGTAGTACAACTACACTGCCACACAAACATACATATGCAAGTAAGTAGCAAAGGTTTTTCTGTTCTTCTCCATGAAGATACTGTAAAGGGGTAAGTCCTCCGAATTGAATGACCAAAGATGTCAGTTGCTTCCTGTGATGCTGACACTGATGTTATTGCCACAAGGCATTGGTTGGTTGGTTGCTTTCGATGGTCATGGAACTTTTCCGACAATGTTGTCCACTTTAACATTGCCCCGGGAGAGGATGGCACCAACCAAGTAATAGCGTATTGGCTCTGACTCGACTGATAATGACCAGTTTTTATTACAAACTTGGTTATGCTGCTGCAACTGCTCGATTCTGCTGTGGCTATAAAAATATTTTTTTCTTTCATTGCTCCGCTTCACTGCCCAGCCAGCACTCATTCTAATTGTAAAAATTTCATTTTATTTTTCTTTAGTATTTGTGGGTAGAGGACTTTTTTTCAAATATTGAAAGTAAATGTGTGAGAGAAAAAAATATTTAGTTTTTATTACATTAAAGCTCTATAATGTAATTGAAGATGGTTAATTTAATGGGTGCTTAAATTAACCCGATATGTGCAATAGAAAATATGAATTACATTTGGTGCGGTGCTATAAAATAATAAAATTTATTTATTTTTATGTCAAATGAAGAATTGAGTTTTGGTGTGCAATAATATTAAATTTAGATTGAGATTAAGTGCGGACTATAAAAGCAATAATGGATTTATTGTGATCCAATGATGATTTTTGATACGTTTTTATTTTGGAAATCTTAGATATCCGGTTAAATGGATTTTTGTGGAATTATTCTTAAATTTCTTTTTCGAAAAAAAGTGCAAAGGATGTTAGTAGAAAATGTGCTCTGCCGTGAGATTATTTTTAGTTCAATCGTCACTTTCGTCAATGAACGGATCGGTCTAGATAAACGATTGGATCAAAAAGAACTAGGAGAACGAACTATTACATGACCGAAAGCATCGAATCTAGTAACCATCGTCACATTTGCAGAATAGTTTCATTGAACTGGTTCGTTCCGGTCCGATCCAACTCTACAATAGAGTTTAAGAGCCTCTCCCAAATGCCTGAATTCTCACCGGGGAAAAAATATATCTTCTATTAACATTACTCGAAACAATCAGTGTTGTAATAAAGACTCTATTATAGAGTTGGATATATTTATTTCGATACAGACCCATAGACAGTTAGGAAGTGAACCTATGGTCTGCCCATGAGAAAGAAATGCACGAACACCTGTTTCGGGTTTTCTAGCATTAGAATAAACCCAGGAAGAGCAAGACTGGTACGAGAGTTTCAGAATCCATTATAGACTTCTAGTATCTACTTGAAATCTCCCAGTTAAATAGTGAAAGACTTTGGTGAGATTGAAGAGAAAATTCATAAAATCTCTCTAGCCTAAAGTCCATTGCACTAGAAACTGGACCAGGTTATTTGTTCAAGATATTCATTACGATCACTTTCATTATTCACTTTAGACTTTTTCAGGTGGTTTAGAATTTGTTAATTTTGAAACACTAATACCAACAAGTGACAGCAAGGTTGCTTCTGAAACTTAAAATGTGTTTTCCTCGAAACCGTGCTATTACAATTGGCGGACACGATAACACAAAAACTATTAATCCAGTTCATTCCAAATTTAGATGGATATGGATAAATTCAATCGCTGAAGGTCTTAACTATTTTCCAGCTTGGTTTTTGGTCGAAAACAGACGATTTTCCAAAAAATCATTTTCCTAAGTCCGCCATTTTGTTAATTTTTGATAATCCTAGTTCTTATCAGAGCCAGATATACTCTGGTAAGAACATGCCAGCCATCGAAAACAAGGACTTCTCTTTGATGCAATTTTTGCACTGCACATTTTTATATCCTTCACCACACTGTGGTACAGGATATTATGTCTTTGTGCATATGTTTGTAACAGGCAAAAGAAAACGAGATAGACCTGTAGTTCTTTTTTAGAATATGCATAGAATCACATTCTGAGTCGATTTATGCATGTCCGTCCGTCTGTTGGTGTTAAATTGTAAACAAAGTACAGGTCGCATTTATTATCCGATTTGGATGAAATTTGGCACAGCTCACTTATTTGGCCCAAGGACGAACCCTATTGAAATTGGGAAAAATCGGTTCAGATTTAAATATAGGTCCCATATATTGTTTTGTCCGATTCTATGTAAATGGTGCACCAAATATCCTAAATTCCTTTCGATTTGCTTGAAATTTGGCACAGCGTACTGAATTAGGTCTAGAATGCTATGTGCTAAGTTTCGTGAAAATCGGTCCAGATTTAGATATAGCTCCCATATAGAATTTCGTCCGATTTAAGGTAAATGGTGCACCAAAGTCCCTATATATCATTCGATTTGCACGAAATTTGGCACAGCGTAAGGAATTAGGTCTAGAATGATGTGTGTTAAGTTTCCTGAAAATCGGTAGCTCCCATATATAATTTCGTCCGATTTCATGTAAATGGTTTATGAAACTTCCTATATATCTTTCGATTTGCACGAAATTTGGTATAGCGTAATGAATTAGGTCTCGAATGAAGTGTGTTAGGTGTCGTGAAAATCGGTTCAGATTAGATATAGCTCCTATATATTTTTTCTTCCGAGTGTATGTAAATTGTGCACTAAAGACCCAAATTTTGTCTGATTGCCACACAATTTGGTACAATGATCTGTATTTACTATATGAGTTAATTTCAGGCAAGTCTCATTTAAATCAGTTCAAATTTTTATATAGCTTCTACATATATATACATATATAATTTCGTCCGCTTTTACGCATAATTATATAGATATATATATATATATATCTTTATCTATGTCATACCCAGGTCCTCCAAAGATGCTACGCTACTTTCCAATGGACATGCTTTTCAACCGACAACATTAGAGTGAAAGGTTCATTATCCATGGATTTTATAGATGTTAGAAAAATCTTACGATTATCATAGATATATACCTAATTTGGTGTAGTGTATCATATAGTCGACCCGTCCGACTTTTGTCTTTTGTGATTTTATGTAAAAAAAAATGTAATTAAATTTTTGTCTTAATTTTTCTATTTCAGTTCCTCGACCTCTCTCGCAATCAATTACATGGCATTAATGAAGAACTTGTGTTGCGTATCCAAGCTATTCGCAATGTTCGATTGGATAATAATCCGCTGATATGTGATGAGTGTCACATGGGCAAACTAATTGATGTTGTACGACAGGTAAGTTGTTTAAGAAACAAATCATTGTAAAACGTGAAAATTCTATTGTTTGTATGTATGTGTGTATAAAATTTCGTAACATTAGATTAACTAAATATTTAATTAAAATAAAATATTTTATAATTAAATATTCATTAAATTATATGTGTAAAGAAATATCAGACGTCTAAATAAATTTTTATTTTATTGGAAATTATTTAATAATTTGTTTTTGATACTGTCACTTTCACAATTATCGCAATTTCAATAATTTCACAATTATCTCATTATTAAATTTAAAATTGAATATAATTTCATTTATATTTATTATTTAAACTATTTTTATATTTTTCACCTGGGGGAGATTTTTTTCAATTTTCTTTTTACCACAGAAAATTTAAAACTTTTACGGCATACCACCACCAAAGATGTGCAATTCATTATGAAAGATTTGTTGTTTCCTTCATTGCTTTGTGCTAAGTTTTGGTCGAAGCATCTACTACTCCAACTATTTGTCTTGCGAATGTTTGACTTTAAAATCGAATAAAAAAAAAACAGAAAAGAATTGCAAGAAAATTACGAAACATAAAATTCATATGCAAATGATGTTTCCCGTGTTTTGTAAGATCAAAATAAATTTTATTTTGAAAATAAAAAGAAAATGTATAAAGGAAAATAGTTATTTGTCATAGTAGTTTTTCCTGTAGTCTCGTACTACAATTGTTGCAAGCTATCAGTTGTTAGAGCTTCGTTCAGGGAAGTTATCTAATATTAGTTTTTTTTTTTGTTCTCCCCCTCATATTTCTTAACAGTTCATGGGAGTTTCAGTGCATTTATTTCCTTTATAGAAATATTCTTTAGTTTAGTTGGGTAGTAGTTTTTTCTTTTCCCTTTATTTTTTGTTATGATTTACAATTTGTAATATTTTATTGCAATATTACGGTGTGTGTGTATTTGTTTGTTCCTTTTACAATTTTTCATAAACATTTTTGTTGTATTTATATTTTATTTCGTTTCCTTTCTTAACAGTTACAATGGAAATGGGAAACATATCCGATTTGTTTTCTACCCAAAACTTTACGGGGTGCCGAAATAACAGACTTGGATGCAAATGGTCTGGATTCCTGTTTGGAATATATTACCGATGAGGAACAGAATGCTGCAAGTACATCGCACAATTTTCTTGAAGCTGGTAAGTGGAAGTGGTAAAAAATGTTTTTTCTAGGTCCAACTATGCGTAATTTTTTAAGAACCGAATTAGGCGTGGATTTATTAAAGACTCATTTTTAAAGGACCATCCCAGGCGTGGATTTATTAAATAATCATTTTTCAAGGACCGAATTAGGCGTG